GAGACCTTGGCCTGCATTCATTAAATAAAATTAAACCTATTATAGATAATAATGGTCTAAAGACACAATTTAGGAGTAAAAAGGTTCTCATATCACATCTTCCTCTCCTTTGTCATGGCTACAAAGCCTGGTCAACGACCGTGAAAAAGAAGTGTAAAAGGAAACATTCAAGTGATCACATAATTAATCACATGTATGAATAACCAATCAGAAACAAGGATTTAAAATATGTTTCACCTTTATCTGTCCTTGGAGTTCAGCTCTCTTTTGCAGGAACTTCCTGATAACATTCACACAGTTACAACCATTCACACCTGGAATCTTCCCCGTATAACCATAGTCTGACCTGTTGAACACTGGAGCAGTTGGGGCCTTTCCCCACCCAGATTTATCCTCATTTTATTTGTGTGTAATCCTTCATGTTTCCATTTCATCTGGTTCTTATATGATTTAAAGGTCATCTAGTGGTGTAGTTGAAGACAGCAACTCTCTCACTTTACCCTCCCCTTCCAAGTGGGATGGAGAAACTACGTTGACTTCTACTGTAACATTGTGGTTCAACATGTCAGACTCCTCGGAAGGCAACCCATGGCGTCTATAGATCGAAGAGGCTCATTCTAAGGTAACAAAAACATAATGATTCCTATATTGGACACCACACCTTTAATCCCTATATATTATTTTCTCTTAGATTGTTGAATTTCACATATCAATTTGTTGTAGAGCCAAAAAGAAAACCAAACTCATACCTGAAATGCATTCTGCTGTTGGTGGATGAGGTACATCCGAGGAAAGAAGTCAGTACTGCATTGACAAGTGAAGATGATGATGATGCATGGATAGTTACTGCAAACAAAATGAACGTCAGTTTTGCTTCTGTTGATAAATGTAAAAGAAGAGGAAAGTGTGGTGTAACATCCTACCAAATGTTCAAATCTAATTTAATCTAAACCTACTCTATTCTAAATTATAAATTTTTCTTCCGCTGGCATATTATTCATCATCATGACTGATATATGTACAATCCATCAAAACATGTCTCAGAAGGTGATCAGCTCTGTTTCTGTACTGCAGTCATCCAGAATTTACTCCAACTTCACCATGACACCTCTTTTGAAGTCATAAGAAAATTGATAAACAGCTTTTATTCTTACATTTGTGAGTAGGAGTACAAGGGTTTTTACTTTTATCCTTTACTTTTTTTTACTGTTTTCTGTTTGATAAATAAATGAAGGCCCTGGGTTGTACGCAGCACATGTTCACAATCATCAGAGTCATATGTCACAATAAAGAGATCAGATAGGAGTTTGTTGAGCGATGGCAATAAAGATTTGGTTTTAAAGCTTTTGACGCATGCTTTCTTGCAGTCATCAGTTGCTAAATGGAACAGATGCTTTAAAATTGACCCATTATCTGTGTCACACAAGATATGTTCTGGCAAGAGATTCATCTCGAGACATATGCAATATACATATATATATAATATATCTATATATATACACACACACATATATGGGTGAAAATAAACACAAACACGCACAGAGAAGTGAGACATCTACATTGGAAATGCTGTTTATTATCTTTTACAGGGAAACATACTAATAACAGGAGATGTAATAACAGGAGACCTAATGTTACTTTACAGCAGACTACATTTTTGCATTTCAAATTAATTCACAAGTATAATTATCTCTTCAGACTACTAGTACCAGCTCCCATTTCTGAGTCTCTATTTTATTATCCCTTTCAAGATCATTCATTTAAGCAGGAGATGTACTGTAGCACCTTACTTTGATCCATGTCCTTGGGCACAAAAGAAAATCCTCACAAAACGTAAAATTGTTTGGCGGATGATAAAATGGCTACATAAGATGAGAGGATTCTTGGTCACCAGGGGGAGTTTTCTTTGGTTTATGTTACGCTAATGTATTAGGAAAGAAATTATCACCTCTCTCTGTTTCGGTCCACTTCAACCAGGATGAATTCAGCCTTTTGGATACAGTGGAAAATGGTTTAAATAAAAAGCACAAAAATAAAATTAATGAGCAGCAGGATTATAGTCAGATTTCATTCATTTTTTTCCCTTCTTTTGAATCTGAACCTCTAGTCCAAGGACATCCTAATGAATGAAACATTTGAAGTGCCCGTCAATAGCAGACCATGTCATGTAATATGTAGCTGTTTTAGCTCTGTGTTACAAATGTTTGGGCCTCTCTGCTGTAATCCATCAACGTAAACTAATTGTGTCCTGGTTTTGTGCCAATACTTTCTTTGTACCACTTTGTTTAATAACCAGTTCCCGGAAAATTAATATTTGAATCAATATATTCAGTACGAACAACGTAGCCTAATTTATATTAGAAATGATAGCTACAAATGTTGATTTGACGGATATTGATTATCTAATGAAATTATGGCAACAAGGCCAGTCAATGAGCAAGGGGTCTGTGGATAATGTAAGCATACAGTACAGTCACACACTCAGGGAAAAAAACCTGAGCTACATCTGTATTTTCCTTTAACTTGCTGTTTGAAACCGCGATACCTGTCAATTAAGAGGATGTTGCCACTGAGGGCCAATAAGATGACATTTCAGGCCCAATTACTGCATCTGAGAGAATGGGTTAAATTTAGTTTTCTCTCTGCAACCACTGGTCAGATCTATATTTAAAATATTGATAAGCCTCATCTAGGACACTAGACAACATTCTCTGCACGTCTCGACTCTCTTAGTGGATGTACTCTCTGACTTTCTGCTGCTGTTAAATGGAGGCATGCATGAAGCAATCGCTTCCTTTGTTATGAAAATTAATACAGTAAACATTAGTTTTTTTACCATTAAAACATGCAGACAATAGTAAAAAGAGCTGTTTCATGTTTGGCAAATCACTCATCACATCACTGACAAATTAATTTATATGTTTTACGTCCATTTTGTGGGAACCCCCTTTGTCTTTTGTCTTTGGCTTTTATTTTGTGTGTTTGTGTAGTCTGTCCACTTATTATACTGTCATCCTGATTTTCTGAACTGTAATTTGCTATTTTCTATTCTGTATGCACGTCTGTCCAATCCTGGATGATGGATGTTGTTTCTTGTTTTTTTTCCCTTTTAAGAGTTTTGGGGGAAGGTTTCCTCCCACCTGAATCGAGGATCTAAGGATAGAAGGTGCTGTATGCTGATTGTAGGCAAACTTGGTTTGTGATATTGGGCTAAATAAAATTGACTTGACTTACAATGAGCTTGTGAACTAGTTTGGCAATGACCTGGACTATAGATGAAGAGCCCCCCTGACACAATTTAGACTTTATTTGCCTTATTTTCACAGAGGGTTTCAGGCTAAAACATAATTTCCGTGTAAATAATAAAATAACTGGCACAATGAGTTCCTCTTGACTTTTCTTATGCATGTTGCTTTAAAACTGTTTATTGTGTCTCAATTAAATCCAATCATGGACATATACTGCCCTCTAGTGGTTAAATGTTTTTCATTAGGCTGGATTATTTTCATTCCTTCAAATTTTCCTAAAGACTGTTATCACCTATAGAGGGCGCCCTTGTCAAAGTTATTGTATCTGAATTCTCTTCCTTTTTCTGTGTCATGAGGTCATACAGAATTATGAAAATCTTGTATATTTGAAAGTGGACAATCACCTGACTTGTTGCACACAGTAAACAGTTCAGAATTAGAACATGTGATGTGACAATGTAAGGAAGTGAGTAAACGTCCCTACTTCTACTCTCAAGCTGCAAGAGCAGATGGCTTTTCATAACCAATCACCATTTCAGCTTCTATTGCCCAATCAGTTTTACATTTATATGTAAAGTAGCCCACTATTCCAGCAGATCAACAGATGGCTTCAAATGTATGCTTGGGGACACTTATGTAAAGACTTTATGATTTTCTGCTCCTCGTTCCAAACTAAAAACAGGTTTTAAAAATAGCAAACAGAGGCCATGTGCGGCCGTTATGACACATGATGTGATTTTATCTTGTGACAGTAAAGAAGTTGTGGTGTTTAATGATTTGAAATATTGGGTGCTGCAATCGAGACTGTTTGTTGTTTATGGCCATTTTTAAATTCACTTCATAGCTCAAACAGACAGGAATACTTCAGGGAGTTCAGAGATGTAATAAAATAAAGGTTCCAGGGCCCACGACTCCCTGAGTGAAGGAATTTTCCACTGTATCCAGATCCTTTATTTAAGTAGCAATACTGCAGTAAAGTAGTAGCAATATTGCAATATAAAAATACTAACTAATAAATAAAGGTCCTGCATTGAAAATGTGACTTAAGTAAATGTACATTATTAGCAAAATGTACTTGAAGGATCAAAAGAAAAAATGCCCCTGTGAGTGTTTTATTATTATTATTATTATTATTATTATTATTATTATTATTATTATGCATTTATGTTAAAGGAGCATTAAATCATAGTAGTAATAATAATAATAATAATAATTGTTCCAGTGAGTACAAGTATATCTTTTTTTTTACAATACTTGAATTAATCTTCTTCGTTACATACCACCACTTTTTTTTCCATTAAGCATTGATTTGGTGACTTGTAGGTCAAAAAATGTCAAACCTCTGGGTTAGAAGTGGGTTACATTTTGTTGTTGAAACAGCAGTTATATGTGACCTAAATGTCTAAAACATTCACTTCTGAGCCAGATTCAGCCTATTTTAACCTCAAAGTCTTTTGACGTGCAGATCAGATCATCAATCTGTTCTTACTGGGTTTGTTATCTACTGTAAGGCAGTTAGGGACCATACTTTCTGTTCTAATATCACTAAAAGTAGTATACTTAACCTCACACTTTCCCCTTGTACCACTGTATCCGTCCTATTTTCCTATCAAGTCTAAAGGGGATCCTGGAGATAAAAATAAAAACAGAACAGAGGAAGACAAATTAACACAAAAGCTTCACAACCTCATATACAAATGTGAGCTGTTCAATCACTTAGCCAACTTTGAATAAAATAAAAACACTCACGCATTTAAAGGTAATTTCCTTTGGTTTAATAAAACAATACTGTAATGGACTCACATCATATCTGACTACAAATCAAGTCTACAAGGAAACAACAGCTCCCTGGCTGGAAAGTGACAACTCTTCCAGGATTGTGGGAAGTTTACTAGTAACCTGCTACATATCTGTTGTGTGCTACATCCATTAAATTTGACTCACTCATGTAACAATCATAGTCTCTCTATGTAAGAGTGAATTTGTGCTCAACAATGCACAGAACAGTTATTCTGACCCCCCAATGATAAGTAATAAAAGGATTTATTAAATTCACTGAGCTAAGAAGCCACACATCTCATGTGCTTGGTCAAAGTTCTTTAAGGCTTTTTTTTAATATAAAAGTATAATGACATCTTCTAGCTATGGCATGAAAAAGTCTGGGTTTTATCTAAAGCAGGAGCAGAGTCCACTGAGGATCATTCACATACCTTCACTGAACAGTTATACAGTCATTAAATAAGCACTATGTCCAAAATACTTTTGTTAAAACTGTAGATTAAAAGCCCAACTGTTTCACATCTTCACATAGCACTCATGCATTCACATTGTGTGCTACACATTCTGTTTAGCATGCACTGCACTTTGGCTTACATGCGAGGAAAACAGCAGAATCACAAACAAATAATGTCATGGTAAAAGAGGATAAGAAATCTCGTCCTTGCTGAACAAATAAAATAATTTTCAATAGCCACAACAGACAACTTATTCGTTTAACATGATCAGTGTTTTCTGACATGCACAAAAGAGGTGTAACACAAAATACAGTGTCATTGAAAATACTGTTTACACTCTGTGCAAACACTCTCCCTGATGCTCTTCACACTGACTTTCTCCTTGAACGAGGGTACTCCCGGAAGCTATGCCCAGGTGAGAGCGTGCTTCCTGGGGAAGAGAGTCCAGTGTTGTCCCTGGAACCCAACGAGCAGCCCTGGATCCTATAGGAGACTGAGTTGTAGTACACAGAATTGATATGGCAGCCGTGGTGTTCACTGTGGGACATAAGAGGGCTATCGCAAATCCCCAATCGGTAGCACACACAGGAGCAGAGAGAGCTCAGACTCGACTCTGGTCTGCATCTGCCTGCCTTGATCTGAAAATGCAGCCTGTGTCTGCAGGGGCTTCTTTGTCTCTCCTGATCCTCTGCTGGCGAAGCAATGAGGTTGGTACGGCTGGTTCCTTCCTCCATCGGGAGGAAGAGCGTACTGTGACTACGACTGTGCACCACACTGCTTCTGTTCCTCTCTTTGTGGCTCTCTCTGTGGCTCTCTCTGCTCTGTTCCCCTTCAACATGGAGCCCCAGAGCCCCATCCAAGAGGCCTCTGTCCCTCTTCAGTGACGCCCTCTCTTGAGCATCTCTCCTCTCATCCTCAGTGTTCATGGTGAGGAAGCGAAGCACCACCAAGTTCAGGAAGGCCCCGATAACAGTTAGCCCTACCAGGATGTACATGAAACTGAACGCCACGTAGGGCGTTTTTTCTTGTAGGTCCTCCTTTTTCTGCAGGGCCACAAAGTCCCCAAAGCCAATAGTGGTGAGTGTGATGAAGCAGTAGTAGTAAGCATGGAAGAAGCTCCATCCCTCAAAGTGGGAGAAGGCTGCAGCCCCAACACACAGGGTTCCAATGCAGGACAGGAAGCCCACCAGGACCATGTTTTCCATGGACACTTCGGTGCGTCGACAGCCCAAACACTGCTTTGTCTTATGCAGGAGATAGCGGACAAATGTGTTCATCCTTTCACCCAGGCTCTGGAACATGACCAAAGTCAGGGGAATGCCCAGTACTGCATAGAACATGCAGAAGACCTTTCCTGCATCTGTGCCTGGTGCTGCATGTCCATAACCTTAATGCAGAGAGATGAAAATGAGAGGAGCACTGTGACGCACACTGTAGCAATGTTTGGGTAGTAAAACAAACTGTCTGTTTTTAATGAGTCTGTAATGTTTTAATGAGCCTTAAATGTTGCATTCATGCTGCACTGTTAATACTATAGCAACAGAGTAAAACACCATCCCTCACCTCCGGAGATACAAGCATTACATTAACTTACCAATGGTGGTGATGACTGTTATGGCAAAGTAAAAAGAGCCAGCAAATTTCCACTGTCTCCCGGCGCGATGGGGCTCAGCTTGCAGCACCACTCGCTCGATTTCGCGGTAGTCGTCCTCGGAGAAGCGGTACTTCTTCTTCATCTCGTTGCGCTTCTGCTCCAGGATGCGTCTGCGGGAGCTCTCCGACTCGGACTCCAGCGCGTCAAACACCGCGGCGCCGACCAGCAAGTAGGAGAACATGCAGAGGATGAGCGACAGGGTCCGGACGTTTTGCTTCTTCATCCTCGGTGTCGGCATGAAAGTCGGGAGCAGATTAGGCACAGTTACAGGTGGTACTGTTCTTCAGCCTAGACTCCACATTGGTGTTGCAGCCTGTTGCGTGAAACGTAGTACGCGGGAGAGGTGTGTAGAACAATCAAACCTGGAAATCTATGTTACCAGGTTCAGATTTCTTACTTATGTGAAAAACACGCATATCCTGCTGTGCACATTGAGAGCGATCGATGCTCTCGACACGGTCATCTGTTTAAGCGAAGTGGCCTCAGCTTGCCTCTTCGCATGCGCACACCAGTCACCAATAAAAAGCTGTGTGTAATATGATATATGTTTAAGACACATAGTAAGCACCAATGCTCGGCTTTATCACAGCTGTGTGCAACAAGTGAGGTCCTCACTCGACCCGGCAGATACCAGTCTAACATGGGGGTGGGGGCGGGGGGGTTCAGCACCATGGACAGCGGCCAGTGGGATTTCACATTTGAGCCGGCCTTAAAAACTGCGCCGCCGAGGTGGAGACATCCAGAGGCAGTGAAAACACAGCATTACAAAGCTACCCTTAACTCTGTAAGTTCTTAGGTCTGGAGCTCAGGTAACATGTTGAAAGCGAAAGTGTGTTTGTTTGCACAAGTAACGAAACACTAAAACATAAATAGATATAAAAGGTTTGTGTTAAAAATAACCCAAACTGGCCTATGAAGGAATTTCTTAAAAATAAAAAATAACAAAAAACAATAAAAATCTTATTTGAGACAATACGTTTTTGAGATCACATACAAACTAATAATTTATATTTAAAATAATAATAAAATAATAATCAAGTTATCAAGTGGCAATCAAGAATAAAGTGAAAGATTGAAACCAAACAGGAATAAAAAAAATGAGGAAAAAAGACTAATAACATGAGCCTACCAACATACAATCCCAGTATACGTATGGGTCTTTAGAAGTAATTTAAAAAATATATATTGATTTTCTTTCCTCTGGTAACAGTTAAGGTGCCCTGACAGCAAAACAGTGTGTGTGTGTGTGTGTGTGTGTGTGTGTGTGTGTGTGTGTGTGTGTGTGTGTGTGTGTGTGTGTGTGTGTACAGTGGCTAAATAAACGACATTGCTGCACTAGATGCTTCTGGAAACCTTCTGTAGGTGATGCTGGTTGCCATGGTTACTTAAACCAGAAGCACAGACTTGGACTGTCTGTGAGGTTGAAGCTAATATGTTAAGCGTAATGATCCAGCCCCCCCCCATGAATTATGTTGTCACTGCATCACAACATGAAGTATCATTATTTAGGCTTGGATATTTATAGCCATACATGAAGAGAAATAAAAGAAATATCGCAGACTTTTATCCGATAAAAACAGAATAGAAACGTCCTCCTCAAGAAGCACCAGCAGTGTATTGCAGGTGGATTACTGCGTGTTCTTTTGTTCCTCTCAAACAGAGCAACCTGCCTCTCGGTGGCCCTGTTTTTGTGTTAAGTGGCTAAATCAGCACACTTACATCCCTGTTGTGATTCAAACCAGCTCTCCATAAATCAATTACATCACAGCTGATAAGAGAGGAACCTGAAACCCTAACGACCACCCATCAATCCACACAGCTTGTATTCACATCCTTTTCAAAGCCCGAGGACCTGGAACAAAATGAGGAGGCCCATCAATCCCCATCGGGCCTGGGCTTAAAGATAAGTATTTAGACTCAAAGAGATGCTTCATTGATTTTGTTTTGCTCTCTATGTTCTGTGCTCTCTCAGGTTCATTTCATTATCACACATACATATTAACATGAGTCTTACATGGAACAATGAAAACAAATGAAGTGGATTATGGAAATGCCATCCATTGTCCACTTTCTCGCTCATAATGCCTCTTGCTTTTTTTCAATTTTATATTTATAATATTAAATCGTGGCTTAAAGTCCAATTATAAATGTTCACAGAACTGCTTCTATTGCTTACAGTATAATCTACATTATTATTATCTTTTTCAGTTGCTGAGAGACAGCTGGGGAGTTAATAGAAGATTTCCTTTGGGAGAAATTTGTGAAAATAAATTAATATAGAAAAAATGTTTCAGCTCTTACCATTTTTTCCCCAGTGCTCAATTGGAAAATAATCTTGTTTTATTTTTTGCTCCCATTTTGCCATATTAAACACTGTCCACAAAAAGTATTTATCCATTTTTTTTAGTCTGATGAAATCTGAAAGACCTCCTCAGTGTCTGTGGTGATGCTGAGAATATGCAGATGGTACAAAAAACGTTTTAAAGATGCACATGGCGTCATGCAGAGAAGAGAGGACCTTGTGCCTGGAGGCACATTTCTCTACTAAATAAAACCCATCTGCCAATTCTGCAGGGAAACAAAATGCAAATCTGGCAAAATCCTGGTGGAAGGCTTATAAAAATTTAAGCTCCAGTGTAAAAGCCAAACTTTTTAGAATGGAAAGGGGGTCTTTAGCAGAGAAACAGCAGCTGTGCTTTGACAAGGATAGGGGGAAATTACAGACATGGACGATACAGGAGAGCAAGATGAGGAAGCAGCTTGATACAGAGAGAGGATTTGTGTGTACAAACGTGTTGTCAGAGCAGTCAATGAAAAGAGGACAAGGACCTGAAGACACAAAGATATGGGCAGTTGTGAATTTAACTGAAAGGACTTGAATCAAGATAATGATCTGCTCGCTTCCTTCTGATGATTTTAGGACACAAGCCTGTAGTTTAGGACAATATCAGTGACTTTATCATTGTTATCATCTAATTAGTTTATGTATTCATGAAGGATACTGATACAGACATATTTTAGATACATTTAGATACATTCATACTCAACATTAACTTAAAATAAAATATTGAATCTATTGAATTTAATTGATCTGAGAGTGGTTGCCGCGTGAACTTCATTAAATATAACTCAAAAAGGAAGACAGTCACATGTAGAATACACAAAAGTAGGAGAAGCCACAAAAAACGTTTGACAGCCTGAGGATAACGGGGTTAAGCAGGCTTTGATCCGACGATACAGTACATAACAATGTCTTTATGTACCAGCAGTAAAGCAAATACGATGTCAAAAAGAGGCAAGAAAATGTGCCACAGTCATTCTCAAACTTTAAGTGTGTAAGAAAACATGTTTAAAATAGAAACTGGATCAGTTTAATGCCCTAAAACATTGCTCTACAAAAATATGTAATTAAAAAAGTGTCAAAACAGATAAAACATAAAAAATTAGCTTTCAGTCTCAATTTTGTATTTGCTAATTCCTCCTTAAAATAAGGTTAGATCTCATTATGTCCTCAAACTTTCTGTTTCTGTTCAATTCATTTAACTTAAAAGACGTCTGTTTCCCTTCATCTGTTTGCTTTGTCAGCAAATACTTCCTCAGTAGTTCAACCGTTTATGTGATTGCTTGAGAGAAGATGAAATTGCATTCTATTGATTAACATTTCCCCATTTATATCAAAAGGAAACATAACACAACTTGCAATCTCATCAGATATAAGTTACAAATTAAATAAAAAATCATGGTATAAACCACTGGAAGAACTTTTTCTCAGAAGTCAGTCATAATAAATAATACATTCACAAAGAACGGACGGTTGAGTTTAATACATTTTGGGAAGTTGCAGGTTTTTTACAGCTTGTGATGCTACAGCGACTGTCTGACTGTTTACACAGCTGATTGCCTCTGATTGGACAGCACAGATGTCTCCTAGCAACCGATTTACACATTACTGAAGTCTTTACGAGTTGGTTTAGGTTTGATGAATCAGTTTGAAACTAGCTAGTTATAAGAACATAAAAAGGACTTTACACAGAAACCTAGCAATTGAATTAAAATTGAGCTCAGTTTTATTTGTATGGTGCCAAATCATAACAGAAGTTATTTCAGGACACTTTTCAAATAGAGCAAGTCTAGACAGTACTCCATGCCATGAATTTACAAATAGCTGCTGTAACACCATCCTGGTGTGCAGAATTCCCCCTGATGACCCTCGACTCCACCAGGCTCCTACGGGGGAAAACTATAGGAGGTAGGAAGCTCATATGATGGGGAGGTAGAGTTGTAAACTATTCATTAATTTCTTGCTTAAGTCCCTACAAACACAGCCAGACTGCGTTTACATAATCATTATAATCTCAGTGTATATTAACAAATCTTTCCTTCTGTATTGAACTCACTGAGAAAAAGGCAATAGGGAATCCATTTTATAAAGCAGAGGCACTAAATAGCAACAGCAAATACTGGATGCCTGCAGAGCCCTCTGGTTTCCACAGTAACTAAAACCAAAAATAGAAACCCACACCAGCGGCCATTCAACACTGAATCCCCTGTGATAATACACAATTCTATTTATACCTTCGAATAGTGAAATAATCTCCTGTATAAACGCATCTGTGCAATTACTAAAAAAGATGGACATCATGGTCCAATTATATGTTCATACTAATGACTCCTTTGTGCTTCTTGCCCTTACAGTATGAAGTCCAAATGATGATACAGTGATACTGAAGATATTACACACATGTAAGACACTTCTAATGAGAACTGGAGAGATTGGACTGTGAGTTTGTGTGCGATTCTTTCTAAAGGCGGTATAGAAAATGCTGCCTAATAAGTTAATGATATAAGGTCAGATCCGCTTTGAGGATATACAAATATCCAAGACATTCATATATTTTTCCAACCCTGCCACTCTTGAACACCAATCTTAAATATAGCTGTGGATTCATCGACATGGCCAATGTACATAAAATCTACCAGAAACTATTTTAATAATCGGTTCATTGTTGAAGTAATTTTTAAAGCAAATGCATCAAAATATTGTCTTGTTACAGTTTTTTAAATGATTTGCTGCTTTGCTTTGTTTTATGTGATATTTAAATTACTTTTGGTTTTGGGCTGTTAGTCGGAATAAACAACACATTTGAAGACATTAAATTGGACTTTAGCAAAAAGGAATTTTCCACTAGTTTCAGATATTTTATAAACAAAACTATTAATTGATTAATAAAAAGAAAAAATCCCCAGATTGATTGATTTTTTAAATCGTTAGTTGCAGCACTTTGATTCTTTAATGTCTGATCCCCAGACATTTACATGTTTAAATAATGACTTGTCTCCAAGAGGAGATAATGGAAACAGTTTATTTCCAGTAGACAGAATACAGTATTTTGCTTCTCTTTAAAATCACACTTTTGAAAATTAGTTTTCAGGTGATTTTTTTTTTTTTTTTTTTGCTGTTTTGCTATATCTGCTTGTTTACTATCTAATTGTGTTGTAATTATTTATTTGCATTTGACTTTTGCACATATACGAAACGAAAAAACATTATTAAAGTTGCCAAAATCTCTATGTGCATCAGTCAAATTTCTCCTTAATGGCACATTAGACTTTTCAAATAGCCTTTTAGTGCACAGGTTTTCTGCAGCGTTTTCACTTTAATCTGAGTTGTCATAATATACAACAGTATCTCATTATTGCTCATGCACTCATCCCAAACTGAAAATATCCCTACAGAAATGTAAACATAGGGATTTAGCAGCAGAGTTGCTGGAATATCTGTAATATTAAGACCTATATAATTTACAGGTTATAAAATATACAGACGTCTCAGATCTGGATTTTCATCTTGGGCCACAGACCATTGGTTACTACAGATCTGAGTGAGACATTTTGCTAACAGACTGTTTGCTTTTAGCAGTCGACTGCATCATAACATCCATCTGCCGTTAGGCCTACAAGGATATATTCTGTTCGGCTTTTATTTTTCATCCTATGTTGCATCCTTATAAATTCCTATTATATTTCACATTATATTTGTTAACAAAATAGTTATCTTGTTACTTTATATGGTGTTTTTATAATTCATTTGTTCATTAATTGTCATCATTGCATTTATCATAGCTTTTTTTTTTGGTTACACAACAGTCCAGTGAAAACCAAGAGTTTTCCTGTACCTAAGATAAGCTGCCTGACTCATATCAGCTGGTTTGCAGTTTTATCTCCATCAACCAAAACAGCAAGTGTGCTGCCTTAAAGTTTATCGGAAAATCGAAATACTTATCAGAAATCACATTAACAACCTCATTAAGTGCCAAATAACACCGCAATGGAGTGAAATATATATATCAATAATTGGCAGGAGAGTCCGTTTATTCCAAAAAATATATATATAATAAAAGGCTTGCTGAAGCCAACTGATAATAAACTCCAGCTATCCTCTTTATCTTAAACTGTAACAACACCCAGCAACTCATCATCACTGGTGTATGACTTTTCACTCTTAAACGTGAATTCCTTCAAAAGGCTGTCTTTCTTAAAAAGTCTAACTCCATTTCCGATCAAAGTGCGACCGCAAATGTGTGTCAACTTACGTGAAGTTAGATATTTACCACTTAGAGGGAGCACCTGAAGGCAGCATCAGTGCTGCAGCCGCTAACTGTGCCCGCTGTCTGACGATGGTAGACCGGAGAGACGGATGGTCAGGGCCGTCCTCGTCTAACCTGAACATGCTAGTGTGACTTCATCCGTGCCCGTTTAATAGTGCTAAAACCAGGTTTTACACATTAATTTAGCTTTAGCTAGTCATATAAGGTTTATTTTATTTTATTTTTAATAATGGAGGACGACTGTGTTTGCGAGTACGACTCGACCTGGGACACAGAGAGTGACGGAGACGACCCGGCCGGAGAGAGCCAAACCCGTCGGTCATGTCAAGACAAAAACAAATCTGGCTGGACTTTAGTAACTGTACGCTTTTATTATCACTCCGCCACACTGTGACTTGCCTAAATCGTGTCCCGGTGTGGGATTATGTTGGTTTGTAATACACTGCTTTTTGCACCCGGCCAGGCGCTTGCTATTACTGCCATGACTGGAAAGCTAATGATAGCTTTATGCCTCTCTGCTGCAGGCTTGCTAACTAGCCTAGCCAGCCACTGATGTAAGCTTACTGTAGATGGGTTATAAGTCACTGGCGTTACGTTTCCGTGTGTATGTTGGACTGTTTAATGCAATCATAAATCAATGAAGCAAACCCTTTTTTTTTTTTTTTTTTTGTTAGTTGGAAATTGATAAGCTTGGCCTCACATATGTCAACTTGTATGAGGTTATGGTCATTTTAAACATTACATATGGATGCACCAGCTCTGTTATTCCCTCACAGAGACATTTTAATGCAGAGGTAATATAACTTTTCACTTGTATTTGCAGTGGCATCATACGCCCAGAAACCTGAGGGCAGCAAAGGACATGCAGAACTACAGAAGAGGATATCCAGTAAGTAACAAGCTGAGTAAAACAACAAAAAATATATTTGTATATATCACAGACGAGAGAGGTCAAGGTATGCTTTATTTGTGTCTTGGCAGAATCTCACAGACGACGAGTGCTCGGAAGACAAAATGAACAATTTGCAGTTTTATCTCAATAAATTTCCTTCCTCTCCTGATGGTAATATATGTATTTAGAGGTTCTTCTTACAAGATATTTTCAGTGTTTTGGGAAAGTCTGTCTGTACTGACGTGATGCTTTCTGTATCATCTGGCACAGACGTCTACATTGAATCATTTCTTAAGGAATGGAAAAATGACTACAAAAGACTGGAGAGAGTTCACTCGTACATTCAGTGGTATGTATAGTCTACTAGGCTTGTGGTTTATGTTTTGGCTGTGTCGCTCTGACTTAACAAAGCTAATGTCATCTTATTCTAGTGACCTTGCTTTTGGATGCATGTTGCAAGGTGTGCTTCTCTTGATTAGAAAAAAAAGTAATGCTAATATCTGCTGCACTGTTGCCTGTTTTAGAAGCTTACTACCTGCTTTTAAAGTACCTTTCGTGATAGAAAATGTTGTTAAGAAGAGCAGACATTCATTGTTTAAGTACAATGCTGATCCAAATTAAAAGATCTGGGTAAAAACTACCATTTTCATGCATCATTTATACAGATTTGACAAAAGAGTGACAATCTAGTTCACAGTAAATTCGGAAGAAATATCATCATGTTGACAGTGTGGAGCTTTGTTTGCTGATTCAAGACTGTAGGACGTGTTTTGTAAAATCATAGGGCTTCAGAGTTGTACGTGGTGATTTTCACCCATGACGCACCAAGAGTATATTTTATGTTGGCGTTATGAACAGTTGCGGGCGCAGCTGACATCACCTTCATTGAATTAGAATATAGTTTCATTAGATGCTAATTGGTTTTGTGTTGTCTCTCTCTTCTTGAATCCTCTGCCTCGTAAGGCTGTTTCCACTGCGAGAGCCGGGGGTTAATTACATGGCTTCAGAACTCACCAAGAAGGAAATTGAGGTAAGTGTATCAAAGGAAACAAGTCTATAAATTAACACTGTACCAAACAGTGTCAGAGCTGTCAAAGAGGACTTGCAATTTCTGGCACAACATAAAGAAATTAATTTGACCATTTACGTTTATGCCACAAAGTAATATCTAAAGAGTGCAAAGCCTGAATCAAACGTCATCCAGTGAGTTGAATGTGTATTTCAGATGCTTTGGCTAGAGATGCATCATATTAGAAAGGTTCCAACAACCACATTGCGTCACCCCAAAAGGTGGAACAGCTGCCATAGTTTCTCTAAAATCATATCAATTGCTTGACTAAATTCTTTCCAGAACAAGCTATAGAAGGTAAAAGCAAGGTGTCCTGATGGTCTGTCTTAAGACAGGTGTTGCATGTCATCCCCCCTCTCCGTCCTCTCATTCCCTGTCACCTCTCTACTGTGCATTATCAAATTGAAGGTACAGTTCCCCAAAAACGACTTAAACAGAGGTTGAAAGTTGCAGATCTGGTGAAATTATTATTTTGAAATATTGCTTTGTATTATGTAAATTCATGTTTCCAACACCATTAGCACTAGTCTTAATAAAAATATCTTCCACATTCAAAATTCATCATCCTCAGACAGTCTTGGAAAGTAATTGTGAATAATGAGTAATGTCTCAAAAAATGAGTCAAAGCAGAATATTTCTTAATTATCTGACCTACTTTGATGTTTTGGGAACTTGCGAAATATTCATCTCTTTTATGAACATCACAGATTGTCACAATTACTTTTCTTTCTTTCATTTTTCTTTTTTCCTTATTACCCATAAGTGTACAAATAGCTGGCCAGCTAGAAATGCAATCCTATTAGATACCCTTAACATGTTGAATATCATGTGTCTATTTGCATTTTTGATCCATATTACAGTTGTAGAAATGTCCTACATTTAGTTTTTTATATTTTTGTCTTCACTGTTGATGCTCGTCAGGCCTTCAAGAAGAATGAGGACGCCAAAAAGAGACTAGTCGAGTCCTATGAACTCATGTTGGGCTTCTATGGCATCCGTTTGGTCAACAAAGAGACGGGGGAAGTGAAACGTGCAGAAAATTGGAAGGAGCGATTTGGAAACCTAGAGCGGTGAATATATATAAATATTCTCATGTAAGAAACATTGGAGATATGTACTTCTGTTTGTGATTTCAGCTTCAACTGTCTCATTTCTCGCAGGAATATGCACAACAACCTGCGCATCACTCGCATCCTGAAGAGCCTCGGAGAGCTGGGCTTTGAGCACTACCAGGCCCCACTTGTACGCTTCTTTCTTGAAGAGACTTTAGTCAAGAAGACCCTTAGCAGTGTTAAACGCAGCGTGCTTGACTACTTCCTGTTTTCTGTCCTGGACAAAGAGAAACGTCAGGAGCTTGTGCGCTTTGCCTACCTTCACTTTGAGCCAAAGGATAAGTTTGTGTGGTGTCCCAGAAAGATTCAGAAACAATTCAGGAAGGCAGAGAAGAGATCTGATGCTGTTGGGAATGGAGATGGAAAAGATGAAGGGTATTCACGGGGTAAAAGCAAAGAGGGAGAAGCAGTTGTGCAACAAAAAGAGGATGGACTGGATAAAGTTACTAAGGCTCAGAAAGGAACTGATAAGACAGCAAGTAAAGACAAAAACAAACTGTCTGAGGTATCCCCTGAGCCAAAATCTGAAGCTGAGACTGTTGGCAATGGAAATGCAGAGGCTGAGACTAATAATGAAATTTTGGGGAATGGAAATGACTCTACAGATGATGTTGATGAAATGGATCAGACCCCCAGTCCCGACACTGTGATGGCAAAAACCGAGCCCTGTGCAGACAGTGAACATAAATCAACCAACGACTCGAAGGACACCATCCAAGAACCAGACAACATTATGCAAACAGATGGGGACATAGACACTGAAAAACCACCGAAGAAGAAGAGAGAAGATAACAAGGTGCTGCCAAGCAACGGCTCTGTTGGGGACTCTGCCAGTGGGCAGATGGAGGAAAAACCTGCAGCTAATAAAGCCACTGGTCAAACGAGCCCTTCAGCGCAAACCCCCCCTAAGACTTCAAAACATTCTCCTTCTCTTTCTTCGGGAAGGGAGGAAAAAATCCCAAGGACTGATTTTAATCAAGTGCCAGATAAAAAGGAAGAGGAGGAAACGTTGCAGGCGAACGTGTCGGCGACAAATGGGTCACTGACAAGCACTGACAAAGGTGTGGATGAACAGACAAATGGGAAGGAGTCGAAGGATATTGATATGGAATCAAACCCTTCAAGCTCAGACCAAAATGTGGGGAATTCATGAATAAACTGGATGATTGGAGAAAATACATTAATTTGGGCTTGAATGAAATGTAATATAGGGACAGAGTATGACTTAAAAAGACTTTCTGGGCCTTATTTCTACTATATTTGATGTTTAGATATTGATTCTTTTCACTTTGAAGGAGTTTATGAAGTCATTAACTTACTAAATGTGGGACTGGATGTGACAGTTTCTACATGGCCATCAGACAATATTAAAAGGATAAGGCTGGTGATATTCTACATTGTTGTTATTGACAAGAAATCCCATGAAAAGGTCAAAATAGGAGATTCGATGAGCTGCTGCGACCTGCGAGGCGAGGGCCACATGACCGACAGACCCAACCAAAAGTCTCAATAGCCTAATTTTTGCTATCCTTGCTAGCTTGTCTATTTGTACTGGAGAAACTCAACTATCCTTTGGAAATGTAGTAAATTTAGTGAACCTATCGTGACGTCCCTCGTTGGTTTGTGGAGTACGGTTTTGAAGCCTTGAGTTTGTGATTATGGCCTAGCGACGATCAAACAGTTTTTTTGGTGTGACAGAATCTTGATCAGCACGGCCTTGTCTTACAGTTTTGTGCGGTGCGCTGAAGCATACCCTGCTTTATCGTCTGTTTTACTCTAAATGGGACCATCATTTTCAAAATGAACATCCATCCATGCTGTATGGAAGAAGACTTGAAACTAGCAGTTGAGACCTTGAACTGATTAGGAAACTGTTTACTGAGCTAATAAATCAAGTGAGAAGTTGGGTCATTTCTCCATAAGACTCAATACTATTGGGCTTCTTTTTTGTAGCCATAAGAGAGAATGCGCGTTAAAGACACTTGCATATTGGCTCTGTTTACTAATTATATACTGTTAATAAGGAAAAACACTGTGAAGATTGTTAATGATGTTAATGTTTATTTATTTACAACATAACTTATAGTTAATCTGGTTTTGAAAACCACATTTAAGGATCCTTTCCATAAAAGTTACATTCCAAATTCTTTATCAGGGTTGTTTTATGACAGAAGTTTATTTCCCAGATTCTTTAATGTGTGCGTCTGTCGCCCAGCGGAATACTTCCACCAGCTCTGTTCAGAATATCTGGAGAAATATCCCGTAATGAAAAGTGCACAGCTCTCTGCAAAGTCATTTTTCATTTGTACTGAAATGTGTCCATTATAACATTTCTAACCTTTATTAGCTGAATCCTTTATTTAGTAGCCCAGCTAACCCCGTGGGGTCACATGGCCTTCGCCTTGCAGGTCGTAGCCGTCCATCGAGAGTCTCCCACAAAAACCAACAGTGTGTTAGTCAATCTCTCAGTACTTTCTGACTTCTCTACTCCTGTCTGTGGCTCTTAGCTCCAAAGTCTTTGCTTCCTATTAAGGACATGAATCGTAATAATTTCACAACAAATAACTTGTTTTTATCAAATGTTACTCAAACAGAAGTAAATGTTGTGTTTGTTGGGGACTATTTTCAGCTCTTATATTTATTGTAGTGAAGGAACATGTCAGCCAGTGCGACTGTGTGGCTCATTGATGTGTTTTAATTGTTTTTGGATAACAATGTAAGAATGTGACAAGGAGGAATAAGCTACTATACATCCAGCTTTGGATACACAGACAATATTTGCGAGAGAGTTAAATAAATTGTTGGTTTTGATCTTTTCATGGTGTTTGTTGACAATAAGAAAAATATAGAATATTACCAGACTTGTCCTTTCAGTCAGCAACTGATATTTAATATCGCTACAGGATAAATAAAGCACTATTATTAATGTATATGAATGAAATGATGGTTTCAGCATTTTCAACACCTAAATACTTTAACGATTGAACATTTGTTTTGCACTGAAAATTAATTGGAAAAGCTTTGTTTTCCTTTTTGGGCTGTTTTTGTGTGAGTAAAAGCATTCTGTACTGGTTTGTGTTTGCTGGTCCCTGCTGTTCAAATGGATTTAAGACTGAATGTCACTTAAGCTATGTTTCAATAATGTTGCACAATCTGTGTGTTTTCATGCAGATTTGAGAAGTAAACTTTTGAACAAACTGAAGGCCTTGCCAAAAATGTGATGAGACTGGTTGATTGTACAATATGTATGTCTTCTGGGCGGAACTGATAAAGCATTGGCTATGATTTAAAGTCCACTGTATGTTAATTTCACATGGGTGCAAGCCAGGGTGATTATATTGATGCATCTTTTTCTATTTGCACTTCATTTTCTCTATTAATTGCTAAAATTATGGTATTTACATAATGAACTGGTAATAACTTTACAAAAGTGCTGAATTCTTTATATATGACTTTTTTTCCCCCGACTAAATACCTGGCTGTTGACAAAACAGAATAAAGTTATACTATTTTTTGACGCTTTTATGAAATTAATCTGTGTTTAGCCAAAGTATAAATCCTGTTACAGTTTATTAAATTGCACTTCTCAGGATAACACTGGTAGATGTCAGCTTTTGCTCCTATTCCTGAGACTTGTCTTTGATTTCCCAGTGCAGCAGCACAGTCAGAAATATCTGTCTTTGTCTCCAGCAAACAGACTGAGCCTCAGTGACATGACTCACAACAGAGGGAAGAGAAAGGGATCTTAGAGATATTGATGCAACACAATTTGTTCAGGCCTCAGGATCAGTGTGTAGTCGAGAGTGTGAGTAAGGATAGTGAAACAAAAATATATATATGCTGTTGGAGTTGAAGCTTGCTGTTTGTTATTTCATATTGTCCATGCCAGCCTCGATATCTACCCATATAGATCTCTCCCTGTTTGGAACGTTATAAAAATAAAGCGTTAAACACTTTTTGTTGACTTATTTTAAGTGTAGATCAAGAGTAGTGCTCAGATTATGCTGTGGATACGGTATATGCTTTTTGAGTCCTTTTTTAAATCTCCATATAGACTGTAATGGTTTAATAATGTAAACTAATCGTGTATGTAGATTTTTGCATTTGTGTCCCACAGTATGAGGATGTGCTCTGTCTGAGGTAGTGCTGAAACAATTAGTTGATGGATTGAAAATTAATCAACTATTTTCATCGAACATTTAAGTTATTTTTCAAACACAAATACCCCCAAAAATGCAGATTTGTCAGCCCTTCCTTACATTTTATATACAAACATCTTATCCATGAATTGAGAAAAATATCAGAAGATTAATTAATGAGTACAAGCTACAAAATTTGAGATGCAGCCAAACTTTTCATCCATCCCACTCTACACTGCTGCAAAAAAATGGTTCAAGCTGAAACGCTTCGTACTACAGAAGGTCTGTGGTGCTTTAAAGGACCCCTAAAACACATAGTCAGATTATAAACCAGTGTGGTTTTAAAGAAGGGCCTCTTACTCATGGAGTTTTTAATAATTCAAATCTATTAAAAACTACTCCTCTACAGGATCTTTGAAAGTAACCCTGATGATGTCATAGTGATGTCACCAGGGTTATCTTGGTTTTGGTTTGGAGACTAAATTTAAGCTCGGGGTGTGGAGTTTGAAGATGTGGTCATTTAGTTGCCATGCAGGGTCTTAATGAATGACATGCTCTTGAGTTGCATTATGGGAAATGTAGGATATTGTAGCATTTCTTGGAGCTTGGTCCTAAAGCTCAGGGTGTCTTGGCCTCCATTGCTTCAATTATAACCTTCTTTGTTTGAATGTGTCTCTTGAGAGTTCCCAAACTTGTGGAAGTGCAGTACCGCTTTAAGTCAGACTTCTTCCACACAGTAAAGAACCAATTTACCTTGCAGGCATAGAGGATTTGTGTTTTAGGTCAGCTCCTAATTGGTCAAAGCACGGCACCCCCGCATGTTTTTAACGTTTTTAGCTCAGCCCACTTTCTTGGTGTCCGAAATGTTTTCCCCTTCACTTGCTGCCTTCCTCACTCCTCCTCACCCCCCTCACCCCTGTGTACAGTGCGCCAGATTGAGTTCAGCCCCTTCGACTGGAGGCTCGGGTTTATCTGGAACCAAAGAGAAAGCCATTCAGGATCTGTGCGCCGTGAGGTGAAGAAAGGCTCCGTTGCGGACGCTGGGGGGGAGTCAGACAGGACCGGGAACCGGGGATTTGACCTTTTCCGTATAAACTCAGGTTTGTGAGGGCGAGCGGGGAGCCATGGCGGTGTTCTCTGCTCTTTGGGTGCTCTTACTGTGCCAGCTTTTGACATCATCCTCAGCCCAGGTAAGAGTTATGAAGTGCCGCATCCCTCCTTTCATTTAGCCTGATGTCTTTATGGTGATGTGTGTGTGTGTGTGTGTGTGTGTGTGTGTGTGTTTTTTTTTTCCTGGTTGCGTTTAATGTATAATCTTAACTTATTGCAATAATGTGAGCTTCTGATCCACCTATTGATAATAAAGTCTGTCCCTTGTGTTGAGGATGGTGGTGATGATGTTGACAGTCGCTTTAGGCCTGACCTGCGTGCTACCTGATTCTGTCTCTTAATATTTTCCCTAAGCTGTACACTCAGATGCTCTTTATTCTTGTCGTATAATTATCATAGACTGAATGTGGGTGGTATTTTGTTTCTCTGGCTCTGAAGGCCTATTTTTACTCTCCAGCGTCAGCCTGATTGTGTGCAGGTGGCTGTGCTTTTTCGCACTACTTGATGAAGTTGGGGTTATGTTTTCCCTGAACCTGTGGAATGCGCGGATTGGAGATCAGTGCCACAGCGCACAATGCCACCTCTGTTCATTCAGGCTCCCTGGCTGAGGCGAACGGAGGAGCTCATTTAAAAAAGTCCCCCAGTGAAATACGTTTATTTTGTTTAGATGAACAGAGAACTACTGATTTATTTGTGTTTTCATATAAATCTAGTTTAGCCTTCCTCTTGTGCGTAAGAGGAGATTTAAAGCGTCTTTACGCATCTTTACGGTTTTAATGGAGTTCCAGTTGTATTGAATCTATTTCTAGTCTAATTAATGTCTACTTACATCTTTAGAATTAGTTATTTCATTTTGTTGATATTGTCATGAGTAAATTTTTACAGGTTTTCTTATTAATTATCATGCAGTCGAAGCCAAAATACACCAAACATTTGTGCTCACATTATATTCTATTCAGTTCAAATCAAACCACATCCTTCACAGGTATGCAGCACTTGTGGTGTTTAAGGAACATTGGATGTGAAATATTACACAGGAAGACTGACTGATGAATTTTATGTTGCAGAGGCCGGGCCCCAGAGGACCTCCTGGGCCACCAGGACCCCCAGGGCCACTGGGAAAGGATGGCACTGATGTGAGTGACCACACTCCAACAGTTTCATTACTTAAAACTAATGTCCCCTATTTTACATTTAACCAACTCCAATGAGTAAGATATGTGTTAGAAAATATGTTAGTGCCTCATACTTTGCTAGTAATTACCTGATTTATTTCCACCATCTTTTAAACAGATCAAGATCACCAAAAATAAGGATGATATTTTTAGATTTGTGACAAGTAGATAGTTCATTGGACAACTCAGTGGCTTTACATCTTTGGTAGAAGGTGTTTTCTTTTTGTATAAATGTGGCTGAAATGTTTCTAGATGTTAGTTTTTATCACATTGACTCCTCCCAAAGACCCTCCTACTGTTACGAAATCATAATCATGGATGGCAGGTGGGCAGGGTTTAAGCTGTGTCTACTAAATAGACTTCTGTGGGTGAAAAAGTATTGAAAACCCTTCTGGTTAATTAGCCTTTCATATTAAACCCTTAAAGGCTTAGATTATGTTCATACTGTGAATGGCTTGTACTTCTTCTTTGAGTCATACAGTATAATGTCAGCCTAAACCCTGTATTTTATCAGTGAATGTGGACAATATAAGATCAATCTGCTGAAATTGAAGCCACCAGATTCGTTACTGTTTAAAGGGTTTTTGCTGGTATATGGAAAAATATGTTATGGTAAAAAAATATTCATATTTATGTCTTTGATTTTTGTCAGTAAAAATGTTAATATATGTTGAATATCTATGTCAGGAAATCTCAGAGTATTTTTTTAGTTGTGATTATTTTTGTGACTTCAGTAAAGTTTAGGCACACAGAGGGCCCATTCATACATTCCCCAACACTGTGAGACTATCTAGAGTTTCACCTCACACCTCCTCCCTGTACCTTCAGCCCCCCCTGTACAAACCAAAATGAAGCTTTTATCATGTGACCAGTCAGCGTCGGCACAGTTTCGTAGTGTTAGTTCTTCCCCAGCCACGGCAGAAGCTGAACATCATATCCTTTATACTTAAGCAGACCACAGACTCCCAGCTTTGTAACTTTAATATTTCTGTTGTTGGAATATAGAATAATTTAATTTTTAAAATTCTGTCTCTACAATCAAACACTATAGTCACTGGAAGTATTTGGGCCTGTGTGGCAGTGTGCAAAATATGAATAAAATGCATGTTTTTGTCTTATTACTTATTTTTTTCTTTCTCATTAACAGGGCAAAGCGGGACCTGCTGGACTGGCAGGGAAACCAGTAAGTATTCCGACAAATCAAGTCAGTTTTATTCAGGGACTGTATGAAATTTATTGGAGTGGTGATTATTATAATTAATGAAGGGTTTTCTTAACTTAGAAAAAGAACTGCAACATATTAAAACAGTATAATAGCGTTAAATTGGTACAACTTGTTTAATCTTAACGAACCATGGAACAAGTAAAAGTTGTCTCTTTGATTGTAACTATTAACTATATTTCAGAATCCAAAAGAAAATGAAAACTTAGGACAAGGAAAAAAATAAAAGACCCTTCTCTGCTCTTCCAAAAAAAATTCAGACCCTACCATAAGCCAAAAGTAAAATTACAATACCCTCCCCCCCTTTCTGACGCCCTCTCCCTCTCTGATAATTGTCATACAGTCCCTTTTACAGCCTAAAATCAAAATGGCTTTGCAATCTGTTCACCCTTTATTCTTAAACCCTCAGCTTGGAAAACTGAAAAACTCTTATATGAAAACTGTGTTTTGTTTGTTTGTTGTGGCTATATTTTATGTTGTTCAGATAGAAGACGTAAAAATGAATTGCTTACTTGGCTAAATTATTGATTTCTTATGCTGTATTTCATAAATCTCTGTCTGCGTAGGGTCCCAAAGGGAAAGCAGGAATACCAGGCGGACCAGGAAAACCAGGCCTGCCAGGACTTCCAGGGGTTGATGTAAGTGTCACATAAACACACACAGACAATTCTTAATAATATCAACACACCACCTTTGTCTTTGTCAGGAAATGTCATGAATCACTGCCTAAGTACAGTGTAGTTTCTGCTATGAAACTGAAATGATTGATTGGTGATTATTTTTGTTATGTTTTAAAAATAACAACAGAGCACGAGGTAATGATGTACTTTCTCTTCAGGGTTTGACAGGTCCTGATGGTCCTGCTGGAAAGGATGGACCCCCTGGGGAACCAGTAAGTATGTCTCAGTCTTTTGATCTTCCTGGGATGCAGAGGACACGCTTAAAGATGCACTCAATTGGATTTTATGACCTTCTCTACCTCAGACTGCCCTCCCCATTGAACAACCAGTTAAAGTCAGCCAGTAGTAAGACACACAAACACATATGCATACAAAAACACCGCATGTTGATTGGCTGCTGTTATATGAGGATCTTTAAGAGGGTCTAACAGGGACAAGACTTGTGTTTTCTCTGTCAGCCTGGATTTGTCAAGCCGGCTCAGCCTCTTAGTGGGAATATTTTTAATGAGGGATCAGAATCGGATTTATTTCTGCTGCTTCTCTAATCTGGCCCGGAATGCAAACTATTTCCCACCAATCTGTAAGACTGTAGGGGAAACAAGGTATTTGTCCTACAAGAGAGATACAAG